ATCACAGACCTGTGTGCAGTAAGATGTGCCAAGCCACTGACAGGGCTCTACAACAACAAATGGCACAGTAGGTTACTATGGAATGAAAGTTCAAAGGGTGTGCATCTCATGGCAACTGTCATAGGATGCATGTGACAGTATGCTGGGAGCACAGCCTCCTGTCCATGAGGGCATGCAACCTGGTGAGGAAAGTGTACCACAGATCTCTCCTCATTCCAGGAAAGTGTACTACAGATCTCTACTCATTCCATTTCAAGGCATCTGATTTTTCTCCCAGTCTGTTCCAATAACTAGAAGGTCATTGAGGGTTGGGATGCCACCTTCCTCCTCTTACTGTCCTAAGCTGGTCCCCAGGGCCTGACACAGGCTGCCCCATCTGTGATGGATGGCTGATAGCTGAATGATGACCAACCTAAGAAAAGCCAGTTACTGAACCCATGAGGATGCTTGTTTAAGAGAAAGGCAGCACAAGAAGGCAGAATGGTCTGGCTTTATATACTTGTACATCAAAGCTGACCTGGCCACTGGACCCACAGCAGTGAAAATACAAGATCACAAATTTTGATGTGCGTTAGAATAATTAGAGGTTTCCTGGCCGACCTCTGGGCTTTCTGTATCTAACCCTGTGGGACTGGGCCTGGCACCTGCACCTGCACCTCCCACCAGCACACATATTCCCCACCATTCTGATTCACATAGTCACAGAACACAGCACATTTTCCAATCTATAAGGTTTTAAGAACATTTGAGATTTAGATTAGATAAGAAACATGCTTTGGGGCTGGAGAGATGGTTCAGTGATTAACAGCACTTCCTACTGTTCTTGTAGAGGACCTGAGTTCAGTTCCTAGCACCCATGTCAGGCAGTTCACAACCACCTGTAACTCCAGTTCATTCTTTTTATTTTATACATATGAGTGTATTGCCTGCCTGTATGTAAGTGCACCCATGTTGTGCAGTACCCGAGGTCAGAAGAGGGTGTTGGATCCCCTGGAACTGGAGTTATGAACAATTGTTAGCCAGCATGTGGGTACTGGGTATCAAACCTGGGTCTTTTCCAAGAACAGCCAGTGCTTTTAACTGCTGAGCCATCTCTCCACCACCCAGATTTCATTTTTATATTGTGTTTCTACCAAATAAACAGAAAAAGACATGTGTGCATGCATGTGTGCAAGTGCGTCTGTGCATACATCTATATGGGCATGTATACATGTGTTTGCATGTGCATATGTGTACATATGCATGTGTGGTTTTGCATGTATGCATGCATGTATGTGAGAGTGTGTGCATGTGCATGCATTCGTGTGTGTGCATGTGTGTGTATGTATACAGGTGCATATGGAGGCCAGAGGTCAACATTGGGTGTCTCTCTCTAGTGCTGTTCACCTTATTTTTTGAGACAGGGCCTCTCTTGGTCCCAGAGCTCAATGAATCCATTCAACTAGACTGGCTGACCAGCTAGCTTTAGGGATCCATCTGCCTCTGCCTCCTGAGCATGGGAATTGCAGGTGGGTGTAGCTACATCAACTTTTTGCATGTGTCCTGGGGATCAAACTCGGGTCTTCATGCTTACATGGTGAGCACTTTGCCAGCTAAGCCAGCTCCTTAGCCTCTGAAAGACTTTTCCTAGGAGGAATAATAGTATCTACTCCTAAATGTTATGGTGGGCATCTTACCTGAAACAAAAAGCTTGTAAAGATCCAGTCACAGTCCTTGGGATTAGTAACTGCTCAAAAAATTATAGCTATTATTTTGTTGTCATGACTGTTAAGGTGTTTAGTCAGAAGCACATTATTTCTTTAAAGGTACTTTAAAATCAAATTGGAGTATGAATTTTGGGGATGATAGAAGTTCCTACACTATTTGAGACAGGATGTCAGTTTTCCAAGACAGCATTCAGACAATAGAACAGAAATTTCTGTCATCTTCCCTTAGGAAATATCTCAGACCCTCCCCCAAAAATCCAGGTAGCTTTTTGACAAACTGCATTTTTTGAACAAATCCTGCCCATTAGACTGTTTACTATTGCCACCTAGCTAAATCCATACATTAAAAAATGAAAAAGCGGGGTGTGGTGGTGCACGCCTTTAATCCCAGCACTCGGGAGGCAGAGGCAGAGGCAGAGGCAGGTGGATCTCTGTGAGTTTGAGACCAGCCTGGTCTCCATAGTGAATCCAGGACAGCTGGGGCTACAGGGAGACCCTGTCTCTAAAAGACCACAAAAAAAAAAAAAAAAAAAAAAAAGAAAGAAAGAAAAACAGCCAGATTATGAGTTAATGTATGAAAACATAAGGATATTCGTATCAGGTCATCTAATTCTGAACACCAAGGTCCTCAGTTTGTAGAGATAAAAGAAATACAGAACAAAAATGCTAAATCTGGTTTTCCACCATCATGAAGGGAACCAAGCCAGATCTGCTTCCACAGAAGAAAGAAATACACTCCCAATCTTAAAAAGCTGCAGGAAGCATTCCTTCTCTTTGATGTGCCAGTTTCAGGCAACATGGCCTAAACCCAAAGGCATCATTTTGATTCTAGGCTCATCGTTTTTTTATTTCATGTGCATCTATGCTAATTCTCTCTGCAGTCTATTATTTAAGCCTTGGAAGGACAGATGCGCAGTTTTTACAGGGCCATAATCCACTTGGTGGGCGGGTAAGAAAGAGGCCTTTGGTCTTCCTCATTTACTCCAATGAGAAAACTAGACCATTGCCTTGTAAAACAGCATGAGACCTGCACCCTGATTTCCATGGAATGCTAACCTGGGGTCCTCCCTACACCAGATTCATAAAATTCAGCATGGTCATAGGTGACCCAAATTAGCTCTAGGCTAAATGGAATGAGTCAAAAGCCAGTCAGAGGATATAAACAGTAAAAGCAAGAAGGTCAGAAAGTGACCCACATACAGGGTTTTAGGCCACACACTTTAGGTATGCCTAAGAGTCAGATTCAGCTTTCTAAGGCTGAGAGGATCAGGTATCCAGAAGAAAATTCTAGTGCGAGTTGCCTTTTAAGTCTCTCTTGAGGGACTGGAGAGATGCCTCAGCAGTTAAAAGCTCTGACTGCTCTTGTAGAGGACCTGGGTTCAGTTCCCAGCACCCATATAGCTGCTCACAGCCCTCTGTAACACCAGTTCCAGGGGACCTGACACCCTCTTCTGACCTCCATGGGCAATGCATGCATGTGGTGCACTTACATACAGGCAAAATACCCATACATATAAAACATAAAAGTTAAATTTAGGGGCTGGAGAGATGGCTCAGCAGTTAAGAGCACTGACTGCTCTTGCAGAGGACCCGGGTTTGAGTCCCAGCACCCACATGGCGGCTATGAACCGTCCTTAACTCCAGTTCCAGGGGAATACGAAGCCCTCTTCTGACCTCCAAGGCATTGCATGACATGGGTGCACTCACATACATGCAGGCAATATACTCACATAAAAAAGTTTTTTAAATTAATTAAAAAAACTTTAAATTTCTTTTGACTAAAAGATACATTCTGAAGATATTACTAAGGATTCACTGTCACTATTTTGTTTTTTACTTCCATCCTATGTACCTTCAGTCCCCACCTTGTAACCCCCAGGGTGGCTCCCAGCCTGCCCATCCCAGAATCCCTGAGAAAGGACATTAAGGACAGCACTGATTATTGGCAGGCACTTGTTAAATCAGAAATGGGCTTTGCTATATGCAAACAAACCATCAAGTTTTAGGATAACTCCATCTACCTCCAGATCTCCCAGGACTACCTGTTCCCATCCACAAAGCATCCTTACCAACAGGTAGATGGAAGGAGAGTTACGATGAAGCTTTGTGACTGAAAGCAACAGAAAAAGCAACTGGAATTGTGCTAGGGATGCAACTCAGTGGTAGAGCCTTTGCCAAGAATGAATGAGGTCCTGAGTTCTAGCTCTAGTACCTCACATTAACTTAAAAATTATTTTCTGAGAACCAATTGAAATCACATGAAGCTCAGTGTGGTGGCTCACATTCCAGCACTTGGGACACTGAGCCAGGAGAACTGCCTTCAATTTGAGGTCAGCCTAGCTTACAATGTGAGCCCTTGTCTCACAAGACAAAGCAAACAAACATCAGTAATTAGGCACTTGTTTGGGTTCTAGGCATGCTGCTTTCTGTCAATTGAATTTTCTTTTTTCTGGTATACTTAATGTAAGGGGTCTGTGGTGAAGGCCTGAGGGTCTGAGACCCAGATATCACTTGCAGCTCTAACCCTTCCTTCCTAGTCATATAACTTTGGAAGATCTCTTCACAGCTCTAGGCCCCAGCTTCCTAATTCAGAACAAGGTTGGCATTATATGCCACACTGAATAAGTATTTGTAGAAGGCTTGGGAAAAAAAATCTGCAAAGTGGGGGTATACCAGGGGACCCCAGAGATGATTCCCAGTCTGTCCGGTCAACAGACCTGTGATTTCTGTCTCTGACTTATGTGCGGTTAGCCTACTGTCATGCACCTGGGGCCCAACAGCCCAATATTCTCTTTTGAATCAGTATAGCCCCACTGCACATTTTCTCATCAGCTTCTGGTAATACCCCTTTATTATATCATGAAAGAAGGAAGCATTTTGTCATTAGCCTGATCATGCAGGTTTTTTTTAAACAGTAATCAGTTCTCAGAGCATATTACTGCTTTTAAAGACCTACGCAGTATTTCAACATTATATGAGGAAGTATTTAAATTTTCCTTCCACAGTTTTCTGCTTGATTTTCAAGAGCTAAATGAACAGTTTGCATTTTTTGTGTCTGATGTTTTTCCTCCCCTTTAAAATGCCGAAGGTTTTTTTTTTTCTCCTCCCCACCTCTGTAGGAGGAAAAAAGGAAATTGTTCCCCTGCAATTTACTTTGGTTTTCTCAAAAGTCGGGCAGGAAAGTCAGCATAACTCAGGTGGGATCTAAAATGTTCTTGTGGTACAAGTGTGCATGAGAAAGGAAGCCTATAATTTCCGAGCATTCTTTCAGGAAGTTTATATTCTGTTTTCCAGGGAGCCTTTACTTTCCAAGGAAGTATGATTGACATGCCGTTGCTGAAGCAGGCCCAGAACATTGTTACGCTTGCCACATCCATCAAGGAAAAATGATCTGTTAAATGAAGCTCTCATCGGGCGGGCTGAATGGATACAGTGGGTTTCTTAAAGACAAACTGCTGTACTCAAGGCAGCTTGTTAGCATGCCAGATCAGGATCTCATCCATTTACAGTTCACGGTCCCTTCCTTAAGACTTTTTTTTTTTCCCCCTTGTCTTACTGACCAGTTATTCTTCTAAAAATAAACTTTCCTCCTTTGGGGTACGAGCTTATGGTTTTATCGTTGTCTATTAATGTGTTACAGATTTGGATTTATTATTTCATGGGGAGATAAAATCCTAGGGAAAAGTGGATGATAAGAAGTTAATTCCTCAGTGAAACAGATTTCTGAACATATATAGTCTCTCTACTCTCCTTGAATTTAAAGTTTCCCACATTATTCATTTGTACGGAAGATACCATAAACAATTTTAAAGCCAGGCTTTTAAGAAGTAATATCATAATCAAGGGGTCTTGTCAATTTTACTAGTAATTTGGTAAAACAACAAAGATGTTGAAAATGTTGTTAGATTGGCTTGTAAAAGACACCTTCTAAAAAAATAAACTTTCAAAACTGATTACTGGGGACCACTGTCCCCTGAATGCTCCATCCAAACTGTCAGTGTGCTGTATGGTGACCTCAAAAACTTTCATCCAGTGTGAATGCTTGGGGTCAATGGTTACTAGCAAAAAATCAATGTGTAGAAACACAAGGCATCCTTTCTCCCCTTTATCTTCCCACTTAACTGTTCGCCATTGAGGCCATTTCCCCCCTGTAAATGTAGGACCTGGACAGGACTCCCTCAGCCATAAACTTGTAGCGTCTCCCAGGACACAAAGCCACAGGGCTGGTGCATATTGGCCCCCTGCAAGATTTACATCACATTAGAGATGCGGGTTACAGGTCATATGGGTGGTGTGGTTAACGGGCTTAGTAAAGCTGTTTTGAAGAGGTTAACCCAGCTTGTAGGAAGGGTAAATAAACATAACAACCAGCCATTGTCCCCTATTCAGCATGTACTCTTATATTGAAGGCGAAAGGGTATTGAAGCCTTGGAGGATCAACTTGTGCGTGCCAGAGGACGCCAGTGAAGTTTGAAACACCAACAAGCAGAGATTTTGTTTCTCTTCCTCATTAAATCATGAGCTTTTGTGTGGAGACTCTGGACGACTGTTCTTTAAGAAATTAGCAGAATGGAAAGTTTAAAACTGTACACCAACCTTTTCATGACCTACACAGCAGCATTGCTGCTACTCTTAGACAAACACCACAGGGAAGGCTGTTCTGTTTATTTAAATTTGTAAATAGAAAACAGTTGTTTTTCAGTTTCATTTTTCACCTCTTCCTATGCCCTTTTGGTTTATTTCCTTCATGGTCCCTGGCGTGGGCCCCACTGAGGGTTCTACTTCTCCCCCTGCTTCTTCCAATTCCTACAGGAAGCCTGGGAGGTAGGTTGAAGAGAAGCAACTCTACCATCACACCAAAGCAGAAAACACTGTCAACGGCTGCCACAGTGGCAAGGCAGGAAAGGGAAGACCCTATTCTAGCTGGCATGTGGAAGGAACCAGACCCAGGCCTAATGGCTCTGGGGAAACACATTCTTGGGACACCAACTAATATTTACTAGCAAAAGGGCAGAGGAGACAGCTCTTAAACTGATGCGGGGTTTGCTAGGCCCACCTGTTTTCGATTTTGTATCCCCCTGCCCTCCTGCTGCATGGCCCCTCATTAGGAGGTAGGTTATCACTCCTCATCTGGACCAACCCTGTTAACCTAGAGTTTCTGGAAAATAAGGTGGGAGTGGAAAGGAGGGCAGGCTGGCCTCTAAGCAGGCCAGCTTCAGGACAGTGGGCAAGGGCAATGGGCAGCACTTCTGGGTGAAGAAGCACCCCAAAAATTCCACAGCTGCAGTTGGGAATCATTGAGTCAGATGTGAACAGAATAAGCCTGACCCACGGGGGAGCCACACTGGTCACTGTTCAAAGTATAGACATAAGAAGACTACTCTTAAGACAGTAGGCAAAAGGAAGGCACACACACGCACACACAGCTTAAGAGTACCAGAAACAGCATTGATTCAAAAAAAAGCCCTTGGGGGGTGTGTGTGGAGGAGAGATGGGTCAGTGGTTAAGGGCACTGACTGCTCTTACAGAGGACCTAGGTTTGGTTCCTAGCACCCACATAGCAGCTAACAACTGTCTGTAATTCCAGTTCCAGGGGATCCAATGCCGTCCTCTGACCTCCGCAGGCATTGTACCACATGGGTGCACTTACATACTTGTGGGCAATACACTCATATACATGAAATTTTTTATAAAAAAATGTAAAAAGCCCTTGGATAGGAAAGGATCAGAGGGCACACATTCTCCACTCCAGTACTGCAGGCAGCTCTCAAGCCCACACAGGTGGACCTCCTCAAGCTTGGCCCTCCCTCTGAGGAAGCCCCACCTGCCTAAAAGTCATAGAGCCCGCAAGAAAAGCAGCCCTTTGGCTACAGAGGTACTCATCAGTCACAGAGCCATGGGCTCCTAGGTTCCTGCCCCCGTGTTGAATCTCTGTCCATGTGCTAGTCCACAAATACCTTGTTTACACAAAACTGCTCTGCTTTTGAAACAGGGTCTTGATTCGTAGCCCAGGCTGACATCAAACTTGTGGCAGCTCTCTTCCCTCAGGCCTCCCGAGTGCTGGGATTAGAGATGTGTACCACCATACCCGGCTCAAAACTGCCTTGCTGGTTGAGTCTTCATAACCTGGAGATCCCTCTTATGATAGAATCACAAGACTGGGACTCACTGCAGTCAAAAAATCTCTGAGCAGATACCCTAACAATAAGGGCCCCAGTCACCACCAGAGCCCCATGGACTCTCATTCCTGAAGAGACAACTCCAGAACCAGGAGAAGCTCGAGTCAGAGATATTCCCTCTTGTCCTACCGCATCACTGGTACCATGAGTGGGTGGAGGAACATAAAAGGGGCAAAGCAGCCAAGAACTAGGTGAACCCATCTATAGTGCTCCATGAAGGGACATGGGCATGGGAGATAAGCCTGCCTTGGTCCTCTGAGCTGGGGAGGGACCACGGGAAGGGAACTTAGCTGTTCATCAGGTTAATTAAAAAAACATACCTGTTTATTTTTTTTCTGTAGCTCATCACAGCCACTTTGCCATATCACCTCTCCCCGTTATTAATTCTAGAAGGCTAAATTATGGGTAACACCATTAAAACATTATCAGAACTAATGAGAAACAATTACTTAGAAAATGAGGCTGGATGAGATTGAGCTGAGAACATCAGCGGTGATCTCTGTAGATTAGCTTAATAAATCATCAGGTGCAAAGCGAGACTGACTGGATGGTCGCAAAGCTCCATCACAGGAAAATGAAATTGCGATTTTTTTTGCATAATTTTTTCATTAATCTCAATAGGACCCGTGTGGTGTAGATTGCTTTATTCCCTTAATACCTTGCCTGAGGGGAGGGGGTGCCCAATAATGTCTTCATTGTTTTACTGAGGTCTTAATGACAATCTGTGACAAGCTCATTTTAATGTATAGAGGATTGTATCAATAGAGTCATGTTTTATTGAAAGGGTGAAGGGAACTCCGTTCGGAGGAGGCACACTGTTTCTGCAAGTTAGGGAGTTTCAAGCCTTGCCCTCAGAGGTCCAAGTTTTGCTCCGAGGGCTGCGCTGGCCTCCTCTGCTCTAGCGACAGGCAAGGAAACTGTGTCCTCCAGAATGAAAACTTCTCGGCTTCTGATTTGAATTTGAAGCTCGCTGATTGCCTAGCATATTTTGCACGGTAAATAGACCGAACCATGCGGTGTTTGGCTCTGCAAAATAGAAGTCATAACCGCCACGAACACCTTTACACTCAATAGTTTTGTGGGAGTTGGGGAAACTGACTTTCTTTTCAGACTACGGAATTTTCTAAGATGCCATAGGGAGAGTCACCCCGCGCTTTTTTTCCCCGGGACATTCTGCATTTAGAGCTTGGGTTTATTTTGCAAATCTGAATCTTCCGGTTTTTAATTTTTATTTTTCCGTGTAATGCTAGGAAAACAAACGAAGGGACAAAACTGGTCATGAGAGTTTTCCTCAGAATCTTGTGCATATTAATACTAGCGATTGTCATGGGGCGGGTCTGTAACCGCAGAGGCTGTGAGGCCAGGCTTGAGGACCTGGACCCCTGCAACTTAGGGGGAAGTAATTACCTAGCTCTAACATTGAAATGCTAAAGCCCAAGTCTTAGTCTTTCCTCACATGGTTTTAAACTGGGACGGGGGAGGGGAGGCTAAGAAAACCACCAAAATGGAAAGGAAATTACTTTCTGATACCCAAACTTAGTACCTGTAAAAGTTGCACGGTGGGCCCTGCAGCTTCGGGCAGTTCTGTGGTTGGTGACTTTTGTCTTGGGTGGTGATGGTTTACTTAGATTCCAGTTATTATTTGGCAGCACACCTCCTTGAACATCCCTAAGGATGGCCAACGCCGTGAAGCTAGCGCTGCAAGGCACCAAGGTCCTCGCCCGCGCACAGAATTTTCAGCAACGCACCCGCTTTCGGCTAAGCCAGCTGAAATTTACAGAATGGTTATTTTAAGTCTCTTGGGGACTATGTAACTATGTCCTTCCTTTTACATTTTCCCCCCAGTTTTTAAACCCTTGTAAGTGACCAGCTGGGTTTTCTTTTTGCTCCTTCCAACTGAAAGAGCAGGGAGGAGAGCCTGGAACCCGCGTCCTGCGTGGGAAGGAGAAACGTCCACACCGGTAGGACTGGACACGCGTGTTAACGCCCCTGTCCCGTACCACCCGCGCTCCCCCACAGCCTGAGATCACGCACATGCGCCGCCCTTGAGGCGGACAGCGGGGACCAACCAGGACATCAGACCCCGGCCGCAGCACCTGCGCCAAACGGAGGCCACGTCCCTTCCCCGCGGGACGAGGGATGTGCGTGGAGTGGCGCCTGGGGCTCAGCGGCCAAGCCGGGGTCGCAGTGGGGGGATCCCCGCGGCCCAGTAGCCGGGACATCGGGTCCCCTGGGCCCGAGAGCCGGTCGCGTAGCCAGGCTGTAATGGTGCGAGATCAAAGGCTGCCCCGTGTTCCCGCGGAGCCGGGGACAATCCCTGGCCTTTGTGCACCGTTGCTAGGAGCCGGAGAAACTAAGGGAAAGTGTCAGGAGCGTGTTAATCAGACTCGTTACAGTGTAACAAAAACGTCTCTCTCGGGGCTCCCAAG